CGCATCACTCGTGAAAATGACTTCCATACGCAACGAAAGTCAGGGGGAGGGTGTGGGTTCAGTTTAGACAGGGTGGGGTTTACAGTTAAAGAGGTTACTTGATAATCGTACTTTGTTTACCACACTTTATTATGAAAATCACATTTGTTGTTCGAAAGTACCAAATCTGAAATATAAGTTTGTTCGTATATTTTACGTTGACAAACTGACACACTGCGGTGATAACCCATTCTAATCTTTCAGCTGACTAAACATCGATGTTATTTTACAATTCATACACAAATTCTATTCCCTTTTCTTGTAACTTCTTCACTATGACATCTTCAAACATCTCATTTTCAGCCACGGTGAAATGGTTCTTCCAGTCGCCAACTTTACCCTTCCTAAAATAGCCAGCAACGAAATTTGGCATAAGCGCCTCATCCATATCAATTTTAGACGCAGACGTTGGATTATTACGTAAATTATCGATGGAAGTGTTAGATATAGCATTTTCTAACTGTGAGTCCGGTAGAGGGCGTTCCAGGAAGTCCGTTATCGCGCGGACAGTGGTCTTGGTGTCTTTTACCATGTCTTCGTAGGTGACGCATAACACGTTCTCATCTTCACTGTGTTCCCTCCAACCAGCTACATGGTTTACCCATGGTGTAAATGGATGATTCCCATCTATGAAATCCTTCAGATGGCCTTCCCATGTAACTTTCTCATGTAGCATACTAGATTTACTCATCCAGTGATAGTGAGAAGTGACGACATCTTTAGGATTACGAGCGATGTATATAACCTTTGTACCAGTCTGCAGTGCTTGCTTTGGAAATACTTCGTACGGGAGATGTGATTTGATAAGTCGTGGTGATGACGTCACGCCAGGGTCTGTTTGAAACAGTTTCAGTCCTCTAAGCAGCGGTGAGTCGGCCTCTCCGAGCACACTGGGGTCTGCTAAGAGCCACTCTAGCATTGGTGGCACTTTTTTGTCACCGTGCTGAAACACATTCAAATCGGGGTATAATTCTTGCAGTAAGAATATCATCCAGGTGTTACCAGACTTGGGAAACCCTTGCACAATTACGTCATCTTTGCGGAGAAATTTCTCCAAAGCTCCACTCTCCAGTTTGGGGATATCGGTATTCGGATAAAGTGTGTATCCCTTATATACGCATTTCTGGAAGGAATCCATGACAGTATCGGGAGTAGTCGTTTACGCAGTGGAGGGTCTATGGTTTACGCCTAACTTTAAAATGGCAAATACTTCGTGTTTGTGTTTCTACGCGTACGCCGATCATGCATTTGATTGGATGCGCTCTGTTTACGCGTATCACGTGACAGAAATACATACAGACACAAGGATAACCAGTACTGTTAGACGATATAAGTTCAGTAAGTTCAGTCGAACAGCCATGACCTCATTAGCATAATTTATACAGTATTCTAATTTGAATATCTAGGCCAGTACACATCACACTCTGTACCATTGAGGGACACTGTGTAACGGTTCATATTTTTTTGAAACAACGGATTTTGTCACTTGTGTGTTATTATTGTCGTAAAAAATATCTGAAAATCAGTAAAATTGTTATGATGAAATTTGGATGTTTGCATCAACAATCTCAATTGAGGTCAACTTTAATTCTGCGCCGCACCATTAACACAGAGGTTGATCAAAATTATAAATATGACAGATAGTTATTCTAAGTGGACATCCCCAAAGTTTCAAGATTGTACTGGACCTGTAGAATATTTTGTTTGAATATTTTTTTTGAAAGAAGGCTATATATATGACGACCAGTCAGTGACCTCAATATGCACCCATCAAACACTGCATTTAACAACTAATTCCCAAAGTCCCAACTTTGCAAGTCTAGATTCACACGTGTATTTCATTTAGGCTTACCTAAACATTTTGTTTATTGAGTAAACAGGAAATAAAAAAACTTCACAAATTCACAAAGAAAAATACATGTATGTGCCCAAGAATTGGCTTACGTAAATGTGGAAGCTGTCTCAACCCCCCCCCCCCCAAGGCTCAAATCTCTTGGTCATTTGTTTTGAAGGTAGACCAAATGGTCAGGTAAGCCTAAATTATTCTCCCCCAGTTTCATACAGACACCCTTGACAAAATCTGTGCTCAGTCACCATTTTAGTAAGCCTAAACTGCATGTGTGAAGCTAGCTTAAAGTAGCTTAGCTTCACACACAAATTTACTGTCATGACATAACAATGAAGTTTGAAATTTCTCAATTGATTTTTTGCCATGAGATAACATCTGTGTTAGAACTTGAACCTCATTATTGTTCTATACTTTTTATTTTGCAGACAACTGTTACTAGTACTTCGTATTTAGATTCAGCGTAGCAATAGCCTGGATTTTTTTCCTTTGACTTTTTATTTTAACAAGTACTTTAATTTTTCTTTCTGTCTAATGTTATTAATGGTCATTGAGCCATGAGAGAAAGTGTTACTTACCCCCTGGTGTTGAATGGTCTGTCCTTTATTGACAAGGTCACTAATTATTTTAGTTATATTTCAATATTTCATAATGACCATTAAACCATGAAAGAAAGTGTGTGGTTATGATTAAAATATGGCTTAACACCCCCAATGTTGAATGGTCTGTCCCTTATTGACAAGGTCACTGATTATTTTGGTTATTTTTTTAATATTTTTCATAATCACCATATAGCCATGAAAGAAAGTATATGGTCATAATTAAAAACTGGTTTAAATAGCCATTCCCCCATGTTGAATGGTTCGTCCATTAATGAAAATGAGTTAATAGCGTTTTTGAAATTGTACCAAAAATGTGTTCATTGTAATTATAAGGGTATAAGTTAAAAAAGAAATTGACAGAAAAGTAAAGGTACACAAGAAAAAAAAATATTCAACAAAGAACCTTTTAATTGCAGTCAATGTTAAACGTGTGGAAAGTAAAAAATACACGTAGAAAATAATAGAAGTGCAAAATACATGTAATACATGTTGTAAGGCTTGAACACATTTTTCTATGGAGGAGATTTTACTATAACCCTCCAAGTTTCAAATTGGGCATCCACCACCATTACATATATGACAACAGTACACAAATTCTTAATTTTGAAAGTAAACCAATATTTCAGTTTTATATTGCCATTAGCCGGCATTTTTTTAATGTTTTAGGCTGGATTATTATTATTATTCCAACTGCCCTTCCACCATTTAGAACAGCCCCATTTAATTTGTTATATTTCTGGAATTCTACATTTTTCCGAATTTCTTATTTAGTCAGTCGATCCTCAGATAAATATCTTAATTATTGGTTTCACATATACTGGAATGGCACAGTTGATCTCAGCCCACACACTCCAATAAACTTTTTTTTTACATTCTAACTGCCTTTCCGCCGTATAGAACAACCCTATTGAATAGTGAGGTCACAGCAGGGTCACGGTACAATGGAGTCTTACTCCGACTTGATGCCGGGTCTTCAATTTTG